CTATCTATCTATCTATCTATCTATCTATCTATCTATCTATCTATCTATCTAATCTATCATCTATCATCTATTTATCTATCTATCTATCTTCTGTATCATAGTTCTAAACCACCCATCTCAAATGGTAGTATACAACAAAACATTGAAATAGAAAACAGTATCTAAAAAAATTAAAATAATGTATCATCTAGACCTTCTCAATCAATTGTTTCCAAACTTGCTTTCTAGATTTACAGCTCTGACTAACAAACAAGGCAGGGAGATGTTCAGAGCTGCAGTGAAACCATCTCAAGTATTGGGTTGCAGGAAAAAATTTGCTAAGCTCTTTCCCCTTCCACCCTAATGACAAAATTCGATCATAAAATAGAGTGAGAACTACAAGAATATGGATTTTTGGTATATCAGATGTATTAATTGGAAAACTGGAAAGAAGCCAGGATAATCAATGGGAAAATGTTTGCCCATTTTTTTCAGATAATTGCCTTAAAAAACAAACAAATAAAAAAAATCAAGGGAGGAACCAAAGGTACATTATTTCAAAGAATTAGGCAGGCTTAGGAAAAACAACATTTGCACAGGTAATTTCAGGCAAAGAGGTCAGATTGATTTCAGGATGCCTCGTTTATTGAAGTGGTTGGGATGCAAATCAACAGATAGCTTAGAGGCAAAATGCATTCTGAGACATGCAGATGGAAAGATTATGTTCAAATGGAGCATTCATTCTTTTAAAAGCCACTTGTGTGCAAAGCAATTTCCAGTTGGTTGTTTTAAAAACAAATAGAGTAGCATACTCTTTGGGATCACTATCTTATCTACTTTAGCATCTGTATACTGTATTTTTTATTATTATTATTCCACGTAATCTAAAGGTTTTTTTTTAAAAAAAAATGTATACCCTTTCTGCAAACATTCTGCTCCATTATCGGTGGAATCTCCCCTCCCAAAGTGAATGAAAATAAAAGCATTTAGAAGCCTGACAGTGTTTTCTGCAATCCTGTGAAAACAACCACATTGACAATCAGTTCTGAGGCAGTGGGGAAGGAAAGAAGGAATACTTTCCATTTGATTAAAACTTTAATACTGCAAAAAAAATTGTTTTATTGCTGCTTCACTTCCTGCCCCTGTGTGTGGTTTGACCGACAATGAAAGCAGACTGTTTGATTCCCCTGAGGAGAAGAAACAGCAGATCCTTCAAATGGATCATCTAGAATGGAAAAGGAAAATAGGCAATCACAACAATAGAAAGAGGAAAGGAAGAGAGGAAAGGTAAGAGGAGAGGAGAGGAAAGGAGAGGGAAAGAAGAAAGAGGAAAGGAGAGGAAGAGAGAGAGGGGTAGGAAGAGTAGGAGAGAGGGCATGAAGGGGAAGAAGAGGAGAAGAGTAGGGGAGAGGAAGGGGAAGAAGAAAAGGGAATGTATACCTGTAAATGTATGTATGAGAGTAAAGATAAAAAACCCTTTTATTTAAAAAAATGGGTCATCTAGAAGACCCCAAATGGCACCACCAAAGCTTTTCCAACTCTTTGAGACCCCCCCCAAACTCTAAATCTGTTCAGCGTCCCTTGTGATGGGTGCTGTCTCTCAACCCCACCCCACCCCAGGAGATAAAACCACAGTTTTGTTGTTTCTAACCTAATCTCATTCATAACCATTTGCCTGACTAGAAAGTTGGGTCGATGTCAGGTACTGAAAGTGGAGGGCTAATTAAATCTATTCATTGCTAAAAGACTATGTGCAGGAACCTTCTCAAATCATGGTCAGCAACAGCTAGGAGTTAGAGAACAGTCCACAGAAGTCAAAGGAGGTTGGACTTAGTTTGCTTGTGACTATGTAGGGATTCTAGTCTGATTCCTCTTTTGACTCCACCTTACTCTTTCCCCATCAGTTATAATGAACTGAACTCAATTGTGTAGAGCAGGGGTGTCAAACTCAATTTCATTGAGGGCCACACCAGGGTTGTGTTTGACATCTGGGGGCTGGGGTGGGCATGGCCAGCTCAATGTTACTCATGTCGGGGGTGCCTGTGGTGGCCTGAGCGCTCTGCCAGAGAAAATGGGCTCCCAGCTCCGTTTTAGGCTGCGACAGCCTCCTGCAACCCTCTGCCAGAAAAACGGAATTCGGGAGAATTGCATGCGGTCCTTGTGAGCTCCATTTTCTCTAGCAGAGGTACCCCAGGCCAGTCCTTTACTGTTTCCAGGGCATCCCTGCGGGCCAAATCTAAGCACCCCATGGGCCAGAACTGGCCCCAGGGCCTTAAGTTTGATACTCCTGGTGTAGTTATCTTTTTCTTTTTTACCTCTTACATTTCTCTGCTCCTTTTTCTCTCTCTCACTGTAGGAAGCTGTGCTCAGCACTTGGCTTTTATTTAGTGATGGCACCGTGACCCCTTTAGATATCTACGACCTGAAGGATTTCTCCCTGGTGGTCACCTCCCTGGATGAAATGGTGGTGTCCGTCCATCAAAGGCAGGATGATGACTGGCCGACCGTGGTGGCTGAAGGCGAGGGCCAAGGACCCTTGATTAAAATAGAACTGGTGATCAGCGAGGCATGCCAGAAGTCCAAGCGGAAGAGCAGTTTGGCTGTCGGGAAAGGGAACATCAAAGTGAAGTTTGGCCGAAAGACCTCTGAGCACAAGAACGGCAAAGATGCAGAGAGTGGTTTTAAAAGCAATTTGATAGAGACCTCCCTGGAAGGGGAGAGAGCAGGGGCGGACTGGTCCATGAATCGTGATGAGTTGAACAACCCCAATGCAAGCTCTAAGTCTCCCGTCCATCCAATTAATTCTCATGGAGAGGAACACCTGCAAAATGATTCTCTTACCTCGACGAGCTTCCCCACCCAAGAGGCCGTCCGAAGACAAAACAACCCCAGCGATCTCACCTTGGTTCCCAGGGGTCTAACCGACCTGGAGATTGGGATGTACGCCCTCCTTTGTGTCTTCTGCTTAGCCATCCTGGTCTTCTTAATCAACTGCGTGGCATTTGCCTGGAAGTACCGTCACAAGCGGTTCACCATCAGTGAGCAAGGCAACATCCCCCATTCCCATGACTGGGTGTGGCTGGGCAACGAGGTTGAGCTGTTGGAGAGCCCCGTGGACATTTCTCTCCCCTCGGATGAATGCACCACCATCCTGGACCGTGGAATGCTTTTTGAAGAGAGCAACTTCCTCCTCAATGGGAGTTCCCAGAAGAGCTTCCATAACCAGATCCTCCGGTCTTCTGAATACGATTGTGACAAGGACTTCAGGAGTGAACCTATAAACCCTCCAGGGCCCAAGCGGAAGAGGGTTAAATTCACTTCCTACACCACCATCCTGCCCGAAGACGGTGGCCCTTACACCAACTCCATTCTCTTTGACAGTGATGAGAACATCAAATGGGTATGCCAAGATATGAACTTAGGGGAGTCCGAGGAATTTAGAGACTATATGGAAAGACTTCAGGACCATATGTAAAACACACACACACACACACACACACACACACACACACACACACACACCTATACATATATAAATATATATATAAAACAAAACACAATTATCTTTTAATGTTTGTATTCACCTTTATGCCTTCTGTTTTATGGACGATGGAGCTGCGAAAAGCAGCCAGCGATGGGGTGGGGGGACACTTCTCCAGATTGTGGAGAGCTGGGGTGGGGGCTCACAATAACCGTGAGTTGGAACCCCAGCTGTGTTCTTTTCCCTTGGATACCAAACAGCTACCTACAAATCTTCGAGAAACACAACGAACATTTTTTCCCTTTTTTTGTATGCCGCCAGAAACTTGCGATAGCCAATCCTGTTCAGCTCGAGACAAAGAAGATGGATTGGTCCGTCACGTTTTCACATGTTGGGGAAAAAAAACATTTTGGAGACTGGAATGGGGTGGGCTTGATTTTTTTCTCCCCCCCCCTGCTCTAGAAAATCTTTGTAGAAGCACAGTCGAGATTCTGTCTTCATAGCCAGAATCCACCTTCCTTGTAAAAAACAAAAAACAAAAATAAGAACAAAACGGCCTGTTTGTCCAAACACAGGCCAATCTACCCTTTTAATTTCATTTTTTAATACGGTTCATTTGTTTCGCAGTATTGTTTAAAGAGCTTTCTTGATCTTTTAAAAAGAATTGTGGGGTGGGGTAGGCAGAGGAGGTGGGATGGGGGTATTTCCCAGTACATGATATGCCTTTTTTTGAGAAGACTTTTCAACCTTGGTTGTGCCAAAGTATCCTGCAATATAGTCCTATCAAGACAGCACCGTGTTTAATTGATAATAAAAAGGAAAAAATGTACTCATTGAGAGCAATGCGCCCCGATTAAAGAAGCAGCATGGTTTATTTTTTTGGGGGGGGGGCTTGGTGGGGAGAAAATACTTGTTTGTATAAAAGTCCCGTGTTCCATTTGGGTAGAGGCCTCCTCCCTTCCTCCTTTGGTAACTGGAAAAGGGATTGTGATGATTGACATGTTTTTGTGAGGTGTTTGTATATGTGAAAAAGCAGATTTTGAACAAAGATTAGTTTCAGAGGTGGTATTCGGCCGGTTCTGACCAGTTCTCGAGAACCGGTAACACATATTTTGAGTAGTTTGGAGAACCGGCGAATATCACCTGTGGCTGGCCCTGCCCCCATCTATTCTCTGCCTCCCGAGTCCCAGCTGATTGGGAGGAAATGGGGATTTTGCAGCAACCTTTCCTTTCCATGCCCACCAAGCCACGCCCACCAAGCCACGCCCATAGAACCAGTAGTAAAAAAAATGAATCCCTCCACTGGTTAGTTTGTAGAGCTTGATTGTTCTGAGGCTACAGTCTCTAGCTCCAGGGTGTCAAACTCAATTTCATTGAGGACCGCATCAGGGTTGTGTTTGATCTCGGGGGAGGAGGGGGGCATGTCCAGCTTGACATCACTCATCAAGTGATGATGAGTGAGGGGCACCTGTGGTGGCAAAGTGCTAAGGCAGGACTTCCCTCAGGCCCTCCCTCCCTCTCATTATAATCTTCCTTCCTCCCTCCCTCCATTCTTCTATTCCTTCCTTTTCTTCTTTTTCCTTTCCTCTTCATTCTTCTTTCTTCTCCCTTCCCTTCTACCGTGCTGGATTGAAACAGACAAGAGAATAGAATAGCAGAGTTGGAAAGGGCTTTGGAGGTCTTCTAGTACAACCCTCTACTCAATCAGGAGACCTAGATCAGGGGTGTCAAACTCAAGGCATGGGGCTGGATCTGGTCTGTGGGATGCTTAGATCTAGCTCATAGTTTTGCCCTGGAAACAGCGAAGGACCAGCCCATGGTGCCTCTGCCAGCAAAAACAGAGCTCGGGAGGGCCACGTGCTCTAGGCTCCATTTTGGTCCACACCTTCCAACCAGTTGGTGGGGACGTCTTTGGCTCCCATGGGAAAGAATGTTATTTTGGCTACACTCCCCACCC